AAAAAGGATCTTGCATTAATTTCTTAATATATCATGTTAACGAAATTTTCCTAATACTTTACATCTTTTTTTTATAGAAACAGGAATATTTTATAAAATTCCCTGTCAAAATATTTTCATGGGAAAAAAATTGTTTAACAATTTAAAATAATGATAATTTCCAAAATTTGAATAATTTAAACCTTTATACATTAAAAAAATAGCTAAATATAGAAACTGTTTTTCTATTTGCAACAAATTTTTTTGATTCCCTAAATTTAAATATAGATTAACCATAATCTTTTAAAAAATTAAAACAACCATCTGCTGTCTTCTTGAATCCAGTTCATCTTTTTCCTTTCCTTTTTTCAATTTTCTCAGTCTTCTCAAATATTTTTAATAATTCCCTATTAAAGATTCATATTACTGACATTACCTGTGGAAATTGGGTTTGAATTGATTTCATTTTTATTTAAAATAAAAAAAATTTTTTTAACATACATTGACAAATTATTTCGTCTTGAAAAATGACTTTCAATTAAAAAAATTTTCATTGTTTTTGTTTTAGACTTCAAAAGACCAACACATATAAAAATTTTTTATTGTTTCTTTGTAACGGCTATTCAATAAATTTGATTTTTGAGCCGGAGTTCAATATTGAAAATAAAAAAAAAATTTGAAATTTTTAAGCGGTTTCCAAATTTATGTATATATATATATTATATTAATTTATTTGTTTTTTTGTGTACATTGACCATAAAAACTTTTGATAAAAGCCGATTACAGAAACCTGGTATTTACTTATTTAAAAAATGTCCCCAAAATGATTATGCATTTTTTTTTATTCAAATTTTTTGTTTCTAGTTATAAATTTGCCGCCTACATTGGCTTTAAACCTAAAATTTGCTTCTATTTAAATTGTTTTTGATTTAGAAAACATTTTAAACCATATAATAAATTATTACCATCAAATATTAAATAAAAAAAAAAATAAACTTTTAAATTTAACGATTTCTAAAATCAAAAAAACTTCCATTACTCCACCGTGACTTCTTGGACTCACGTTTTCAAATGATTTAAAGTGATATAAATATGATTCATATCTTTCAATATGCATCCATTTTTTTTAAACTATCGTTAAACAAGTTTTTTTTCTCGAAATGAAATCTTGCATTTATTAAAAATCTACCATTAAAAATGCATTGAATTATAAAACAAAAATCTGGTCTAGTGCTAAATTTATTCATATATGAGTTTCTTAAAAAAAATCCAATTTTCTAAATCTGATAATTAAATTAATGCTGAGTTGGCATCTCAGCATGATAATCCTTTTTCACTGATGTGAATTATAAAATCTTATCTTAAAGTTAAAAATATATTAATGGCAAATATTTTTCATCAAATTTTTTTCTATTGATGCCTCCACCATATGAATTTACCATTTTACTAGATTGAATTTCATGTCTTACCCGTTTAATCCTGAAATAGCAAAATTTATCCACCATTTCTCTCAAAACATTTTCTTTTATATATATTTATAAACCTGTGGAATGTTAAAATACTTCTTTTTACTAAAATAAAATCTAAAAAATTTAAATGCAAACTCAAAATATCTTAATCTATTTGAATCTGAAAAATAAAAATTTATTAAAAAAATTCCTATCAGAAAAATTTAAAAAATCCGTTCATATTTTTAAAATAATATTCATGTATTGATGTTAAAGGATTTTTCAAAAGGTGCTATTTCTTTTATTTTCATTTCATTCGTTTTGTATTGTAAACAATTATATCAGAAAATCAAAAAAAAATATAAATAATCCGTCAAGAATACAATAAAAACAATATTTCCACGTGACATATACTTGACGTAATTTTCAGTTGACAATATGAATATAATAGCGTTTTTTCTAAATTCTGTTTTGCTAATGACATTTTTTTTTTGTTATTATTAGTTACTTTATTTTAATTAATTTTCATTTATTTTTTTTTTTTGAAAATATCCACAAATTTGAAACGCGTCGTCTAATATTACAGTTTTCCTATTGTCTTTATGGAAATAAAAAAAAATTATTTCGATTTAATTTTTCTATAAGTTAAAAATTTCAAATATATTTATATATATATATATATATATATATATATATATATATATATATATATATATAATTAATAGGAAATTTATAAATAATGACATAATAAATAATTTCAATAAAATCATTATGATTTTTATTTATTAAATATTAATTATTAGATATATGATAGAAATATGATAAAAAAAGAAAGGTTTTATATTCGAAGATTTTCGGACACGCCTGTGTTCTTTATCAACGGATGAGAAATAAGCAGAAAAATAATTTTTCTCAAGTTTATATTTATTTATAGTCGGTGTAGTTTCTGGAGGAGATCATATTATTAGCAAAAACCCGATCTAGTTCTAATTCGCTCTACGAATATATATGATTGATTTTATATTCAGCACTTCAGTTTTGTAAAAATTTTTTTGGCAGTCATTAAAATATTT